GACTGAAGATCACAGCCCTTGTATTAGGACAGAATCTTGCACAGGGCTGATATCCAATCAACCAGGACACAATAGTAGATCTGGGTATGGGGTCCTTATTATAGTGGGTTGGGAGGAAGAAGGTATCTAAGTGAACAAATGCTCTGTGGAACATGAGATAATTTGCTGCTGACAATAGGGAGACCTTCCTGACTCCCCCTGGACAAAGTGAACTGTATTCATTCCCAGGTACAGGGTTCTTGATGACCAGCCCATTTTAACCAACCAGTAACTGAGTCATGCAGGGGATTTAAATATTAGATGAGAAACAATGTCCATGACTTGAGCACCTCTTGTGAAATCTCTTTTAAAACAGTCTCTTCACTAAGTTGTCAGATTTCCAGATGTTCTCTATTCTCTGTAAAACATATTAGTGGATACCCACAACTTAATAAACTTTCTCTATAAGCCTGGGCCTTTTTGATCCTGTAAATTGAGTTGTATGTCTAAAAGACAGTTGTGTTTGTTAACAAATTTGTTGCAGTTGTGGTTTTTATTGCAATTGTACCATGTAATGAAATATCTTGCAAACTGATAAAATATAAATGTGAAAAACAGTGTTGTAATTTCTATGAATACTATGTAAACACTCTGGAAATACTCAAAGAAGGGAATTTGCTCAAGAAATTGCTGTTGATTAGATGTGGAGTATCTATAAAAAAAGCTATAGGAGAAAAATAAAAAATCTCACAGTCATTACAGTTTTTATTCCATTTGAAAGTATCAAAACCTGATCATCAGAGAAATGACTTATGGATGTGATTTTTGCAGATTATAATCATTGGACTCTTGCCCAAAGAAAAAAGCTTGGTTTGACATTTGAAGATTGGTGAGTGGATGTACATGGGAAATTTTAGGGTATAATAAATCATTAAAGAGTGTGCATGATTTGCTTTATGATTCTATCCTTTCAAGTGACTTTTTAAGCTGATCAACAAACCACTGGCCAAGTACACATTCAGTATCTGCTGCATATTATTCAGTCTGAGCTATGATCTCTCTCTCCCTTTGGGCTTACTGGATGAGTTATTTCATGGGCATTTTTGTGCAGGAAGAGCTGAGATATTGGGTCATCTCTGAACTTTCTACTCCACTCATATGAAGTGGAATGGTAGAAACTTTTCCAGGTTCTAAACAATGGCCAGAAAGCTTTGGAGGCATATGGCAGAACCACCAGTGGTGTTCTGATTCTGAACCATAAGGAATCCCAAACTTTATAGAATCTGGAACAGATATAAACATCACAGCTCCCCTCTGAGCAAAGCAAAGGTAACACTTGTGTTCATTAAGGATTTAAAAAAAAAAGAGTTCTGCCATTTTCCTTTGCTGATTTGGGTCTTAATCTGAATCTATAACCTCAACTGCAGCATTTTCCAGGGAAGATTTCCCTTGCACTACAGAAATAGAATAAATGAGCTTCACTGAAAGGTAGGAGAACTTGGTAGTACTTCCATTTTGTGTAAAAAACAGAACAAGGTTGTAGACGAATGGATAAAGAAGATATGGTGCATATATATACAATGGACTCAACCATCAGAAAGGATAAATACTCAACTTTTGCATCAACATGGTTGGAACTGGAGGAGATTATGATAAGTAAAAAAGTCAAGCAGAGAAAATTATCATATGGTTTCCCTTATTTGTGGAACATAAGAAATAGCATGGAGGACAGTAAGAGAAGGAAGGGAAAAATGAAGCGGAGGAAATCGAAGCGGGGGAGGAACCATGAGCGACTGTGGACTCCAGATAACAAACTGAAGGTTTTAGAGAGGAGGTGGGGAAGGGAATGAGTGAGCCTGGTGATGGGTATTAAGGAGGGCACGGACTGCTTGGAGCACTGGGTGTTATATGCAAACAATTAATCTTGGAACACTACATCAAAAACTAATGATGTACTGTATGATGACTAACATAACATAATAATTAAAAAAAATGGAAAAGATCTAAAAGGAAAAACTTTAAATAAATAAATAAATAAAAAGTAAAAAAAATTAGCACATTCTGTACCTTGGCTATTGTAAATAATGCTGAAATAAACATGAGGGATATATACATACATATATGTATATATATAAAAATAGAATAAGGTTGCGGTGCCTGGGTGGCTCAGTTAGTTAAGTGGCCAGCTCTTGATTTTGGCTCACGTAGTGATCTCAGGGTCTTGGGATTGAGTCCCACATTGGGCTCCCTGCTGGGCAGGGAGTCTGCTCCAGCATTCTCTCTCTCCCTGTGCCTCTGCTCCTCCCCCATCCTGCTCTCTCACTCTCTCTCTGAAATAAATAAATAAATCTTTAAAAAAACATACAATAAGGTTTAAAAGAAGCAGAATATTCATGCCATATATAATTACCAATTTAATGGAGCATTATTTCTAGAATTATAAGTCAGCCAAAATGATATTGGTATAGACACAACCCTAATGACTAATTCCATCATTGCCTTTGGGATCTACACAGTCATTACAACAGAAATGGATAATTGTGGGGACTGATTTAAAATAATAACACCATTAGCCCTGCATTTCCCTAATCATTCTCTTTCTGGCTGTGTGCAAATATGGAAAATATCAAATATACTGAAGCTGAAATAGGGATGAGGTAGTTGGGAGGGGGGAGAGTCCCTGTCTCATCAACTTGAGCAAAGAAAGAGCAATATCAAAATAAGGGCAATGCCTGGGTGGCTCAGTCGGTTTAGCATCTGACTCTCGATTTCAGCTCAGGTCATGGTGTGAGATCGAGCCCCATGTTGGGCTTCGCACTGAGCATGGAACCTGCCTAAGATTCTCTCTCACTCTTTCTCTGCCCCTCCCCTTTTGCCACTTATGTGCATGCTCTCTCTCTAAAAAATTTAATTTAATTTAATTTTTAAAAAAGGGCAATTTTCTCGTCACCTAGGATGAATAATCATCAAAATGCTGAATAGTCCTGGTATTTTCCCTTTCTAACACAAGGAGTGACAATTTATTTAAATTAAAAAAGCAAAACAAAACACCCACACCCATTGAAAATTCACCACCGAGGTATCCACACAGAAATGATGCTACTTAAATTAGAAGTATTTTGAGCCTGGTCTGAGAGGATGAAATATTTCACTAATTACTATGCAGGGTATTTATAGCTTTAATTTTTTTTTCCCCACTTCTCAAGGGACATGTTTCTTCCACAAGCACAGTTGCTGAAGCAAATATTTATTTTTATTCTTTCATGGGAAGAAAGCAGTAGTACCCAACCAGCTACTATAATTCTGTAAAATCAGCTACTCAAGAATTTTATATAATTTATATCTTTGCCCCAGGCTGTGCCTTAGGGTCTGCCTTATTTTTTCTGTTTGAACTTGACAGAAAACAGTTTTTTAGAATGCAACAAATTTTAAAGGACACTGATAATACTTCCTTTCAACCATTATTTTTTGGGCAAATTTACTGCTCTCTTCTCTTCAAGAATGCCACCTAAACCCCTGAAACATTAATTAATTATTAGGCCAAAACATACTTTATTTGTACCCTTGAAGGAATATATGCCTCTTTAAAAATTATATCGCTTCATTGAAAAAATAATGCATGTTCACTTGTAGAACATTTGGAGCACAAAATAAAATATACAGAAAAAAATCAAATCTTAATCTCACCAACTAGAGTTAAGTACTGTAAAGAGTTGGGTAAACTGGCTTCCAGGGAAAAAACATAATTCTTCATTAATCCTTAAAAATGATCTTCTATTCCTTAATAAAAGCTTCTTTTCCTCAATAAAAAGTTTCATGACAATTTTCCTCTGGAGCTTGCATTTTTTTTGTATCTTTGGAAAAGTATTTGATAGTGAACTTGATGAGCACAGCTTAAAATTTTTGCCATACTGAGTATTAAATGAGAACATAAAGTCTAAAAGAATTTGACTTATGAACAATATATTTATGTAAGAACATTGTTCAAAAGGATAATTTTAAAAATCTGGCCGGTTACTTTAAGAATGATGATTTCAAACTAAGATTTGAGATAATCCTCGAAGGTGCTTCAGGGAAATGTAGATGTGTTGTATACATACTTGAAGCATGTCTCAAAGCAGAACTGTATTAGAAAATTCAGCCAAATGTGGGCCAGTCTGGAGGGGCATGGAAAACTCTTTCAAAGGCTTCGGTGAGCCTCATTGTACAAAAAAAGAGAAGACTCATGTTTCTTTGTTTTGCCCATATTTGGAGACTCTGAGGCTATATATAGTTCTCATGTGCCCTCATGGTACAGACTAAAGACATTCATCATGTGGGATCTTTTAGATAAGATCATCTTGAAAGTAAGAGTTGCCATTTTGAGTACTTAAGAGCGGTCTGCCACTGGTAATGCAGGCTTGAATTTGTGGTTTCTCTTAAAGTGACAACTTAAAGCTATGTTTTGTACAGTCTCTTCCAAATGAATACAAGTAGAGGAGTATAAGAAGAGTGTCAGGGCTGTTCATACATATATGCACATATATATTTGTGTAAATACACACACACACACACACACCCCTTATTAACATATTCCCAATATGGTAATCAAGTGTCTTGTAGTTTTCTTTCTATTTAATACAATTATCAGGGTATTTCATTTCTATACTCAGATGCCTTCATATAAATTCTTTCTGATGATGAGAAGCCTAAAGCAGGAAGAATTCATTGGAATACACGCTCAGAGAATCTAGGAGTGTATTTTTGACAACCAACTCTTGTTCGCCTCCATGTGTGTGTGACTGTCACTTTATTGAGTAGTGAGTAGCAATGGAAACTTCTGCAGGAACACCAAGAATTAGAAATGAGGCAGAATTACTACATTCACAACAGACTTGAACACTGAGCCAAAATGGAGAGTCCGGAATACTTACCACCCCGAAGGGGATATCCACTGTCCACCCCCACAGTGCACACTGGGTGGGCGAGTGAATGAACAAGGGCCTGAGAAGCAGAGCGGTAGACAATTGTGTGGGGCTTACCTGAGGGCTGTTCTGTAGTGGTAGATGGCTTCCCGGTTCCGACCCTGGTCCTTCAGGAAATTGGCATAGTTGTAGTGAACCTTGGCATTGTGAGGCAGAGTCTGAACTCCAGACCTACAATTAACACATTTAAAGAAAAGAAGAAAGAGCAACAAAGAACTGTGTTTAGGAACATCATTGGTTTCTTTCATATTTTACTCAGTTTCATGAACCTGCATTTGGAATGTCTGTTACAACCATCTAAATCGGGTTTTTCAGAATTCATGAAATATATGACTTACTAAACACGCTTCTATGGAAAATAATGAATGCAATGGGTGGTGGGCACAACTAAACTAACATGCTAACTGGATAGGAAGCAGAGACGGTGGCTCAGGGTAATGGATAATTCTCTGCAGAATAAACCTGCATGCTCAGATTCATTCAGTGTTTTCCTTCCTTGCTTCTTTTGCTCACTTACAACCTTCCTTAAAACAAAAATTAAGAGTGTCTGCAAAAATAAATCATGATAAGAGGGATGACTGCAGACTGGCCTCCCTATTAACTTCTATTGGAAATTAACAATTTCCATGTACCCTAAATAAATGCAAGTTGCAGGTAAGGGAGTGAGATTTTGTTCAAAAAGTTGCAGGTAAGGGAGTGAGATTTTGTTCAAAAAGCCACTGTGTTAGTTTGCTTTGGCAGTCATAAGGAAATGCCTGGGGAATCCCTACAAGGGTAACAGTGAAGCTTTGAAGATGATTCCAGGGGCAGGGTGAGGCAGGAGGGGATCTGTTTCTCGTTTGTAACTAGCAACCACACATTTAACCTGCACAAGATTATACAGCTGGTCAGTGTCAGAGGTGGAATTCTAGAGGATTCTAGATTGGTCCTAGAGTCCCTCATTCCCTCAACACGCAGGGAGGTGGTGGCAGGGGAATGATGGAGGCCCACCTGGAAAGAAAACTCCCAGACTGTGCATGGATGAAATGTGGGAGGGGGACAGCTGATGAGAGAGAGCAAGGAGAAAAGCAGGACAACCTAGTTTTGGGGCAACTCTAATGCTCTACATTCCTTCTCCCAGGGAACATACTTTCATTTAGTTTTAATTTAAAGGTAAGATTAATAGAAGGGTTTCATACAAAGTGTCAAAGATCTGTCGGGGAAATACGTAAGGGCTTTGTGATCTTTGTTGAACTTTCCCTAAAATAAGAGGTTCTTTATGACCAGCAAAGACAGTCCCAACTTAAAACCCCCTGGTTGGAGGAACTCTCCAAAGGACAGAACTTACAGAGAGTGCAAGAGGCTAAAGACCAACCAGAAGACATCATCATCTGAAGGCAGCAAACTCCAGACTTACGTAGGCTGCTTCAGTGCCCACAGGGCAGGTGGCTAGGATTTCTTGGGGGCAGAGGTGTGGCTGAACAAGGACTAAAACTGTATCGGGAGCAGTTAAAGCCCAGATTGCCATCCTTACCCTATATACCCAAGTGGCTTTTTTCATCATTCTTTCCCCATGCCAGCAGAAGGCGGGAGTTTCACTCTCTGGAAGAGCTCAGCTAGAGAAACCCTGCACCCAGGAACAACAGGTCAACTGCCAAGGGAAGGGGTGGTACCTCAAAGGTATATTATGTGAAGATCTGTATTCTGAACATTGGGATCTCAGTTTCCCCTCTTATTAAGCTCTCTGAACACTGGCAGCCAGGACTGGAGCCCCAGGAAGGAGACTGGAGGAATTGTCTAAGTAGAAACTGATCCATCCAAGACAAAAGACAGACAAATGCTGACATTCGGGTGCTCCAGTGAAACACTGGTATCCTTCAATCATTCTATGGTGAGACCCTTCAGGTGCAACAGAGAGCCAGGATTTTAATGGAATATTTAAAATGGATATTACGGGGTGCCTGGGTGGCTCAGTTGGTTAAGCAACTGTCTTCAGCTCAGGTCATGATCCTGGAGTCCCGGGACTGAGTCCCGGGATTGAGTCCCGTATCAGGCTCCCAGCTCCACGGGGAGTCTGCTTCTCCCTCTGACCTTCTCCCCTCTCATACTCTCTCTTACTCTCTCTCTCTCTCTCTCTCAAATAAATAAATAAATAAATAAAACGGATATTACGCTAAGTGAATTTAGTCACAGGGGCAGAATCTGGGGCAGAGTGCTAACTGGCTTTAAAAACATTCCAGTTTCTATCCAGGAAAATTTCTTAATTTTTCTAGGCAGAAATAAGTAGTGCATGGCAATGGGCCGATTTTAAAAGTAACTTTGATTTTGGCGTGGACATAACTGGCATATTGGAATTGATCTCTCCCCCTGTGTGATTAGCACGGTGACTCTAATTTATGTATTGCTAGAGGAACAGACAATTAGGTCTGTGGAAACATGGTCCTTGCAAAGATCAGGGCATTGTTCAGTGATGGCCAAAGGAAGTAATGATATTCATAACAGGCAAGCAGATGTGGGTGGAGTAACTGGAATCCGAAGAACACACTGCTTTTTCCATTGTTGTTTTTGACCTTTATGTTCTCTCTGTGATATTTTTCTGCTATGTTTTTCCAGTCTCTCATTTTACAATGAGTAGTTTGTAGAAAAGGGGAAATAAACAACTGGCCAAAGGCAAAAGTTTCCACGTAGCTGTAACTGGCCAGGCTGCTCCTGCTTCCAGAGCCAGTCTCCTTCATTTGCTCTACGGATGCTGATTCCGTAGCCCCAATTGTTTCAGTGGAAACAAGCAGCTTCAGTATTTACTTTACAAAGACACATAGTATTCATTAAGTATGCGGTTGGAGCGCGATCCGTATTCATAATCCCAATGATGATTTCAAAGAAAAATCTCCTTTCAACTCAGGATATTCATTCATATACATCACATTTCTCCCTCGGACCTCTCATTTGTACAACACTTGGAAAAGAACAGAAATGACTGAAACAAACAGAAATAAAAAGCCACTTCTCTTAGGTATATCTCCAAGTTTATAGAACACCAATTTGTTTTATTGGCATCCTGGACAATAGGTCACGAGGACTATCCCCAAATTCCCGATGAGAAAACAAACATTAGAAAAAATAATAATAATGAGCAGTATTCAGCCAGAGGTTAACAGGAAAGGAAAGTAAGAAGGATTTGTGATTCTCTTCAGTGCTGACCCTGCTGTGACCTGAGGTTACACAACACCACACTCCAAAAGTCCAGTACTCATCGGACGGGATGCTCAGTTGGAATCCAGTTCTGGGCTATGCACCCACTTCCCTGGATCATATCCTTGCATCTCTTCAATAACTACAGGATGGGTAGAATTATCGTACCTCCCACACTACAGATGAAAACACTGAGGTTCAGAGAGATGAAGACCTTTCTCTAAAATTACAGACTGAGAAAGTAGTGGAGCACAGATTTCAACCAAGGCCAATACGTGGTCAGGACTATTCCTGAAGCTGATCAACATGTGAAGCTAAGCCAGGAAGGTACCACAGGGCATAGAAACACTACAATTTTATTATCACAATGTTTATCTCATTGGTAAGCAAACTATAGCCTGTGGGCCACAGACGCGCCAATGTGTTTACCTATTATCTTTGGCGTCGTTCCTGAGACAACAGCAGGGTTGAGTCGTTGCAAAAGACACTATATGGCCCACAAAGACTAAAATATTTACCATCCACTCCTCTACAAAAGAATTTGTCAATCCTCAATATATATTCTCTGCCCTGGGAGGCTGGCTGATCTCTCTGGCTTGGTAATTCAGAAAGGAAGAAACAGAAATGTGTTCCCTAAAGAGATGGAGAATAATCTAGGCCAGAAATTCTTAATTGATGGTCCATGGATTGCTTAAATAGTTCATGAATGGGATTCAGAGAGACCCTGAACTAGATGCAAATAAAAGAAAAATGTGGTCTCTGTCTTTTCAGGTATTTCAAAGATCTGGGGCGTGGAGGGGATTTTACCAAAATGTGTTATTACAGTATTATTTACTCTAAACAAAGGCAAAATTCATTACCAGACCCAGCTAAAGCTGCACAGTGACCCTTTTCCTAGGTTAGGGTATCAGAACAGTTCCTTGTTAAAAAGAATTAAAGAAAATACAGCTGGTAGCTATGATTATGAACCAACTCCTCCCTCTTGCTCTCTCCCCCACTCTCTTTTTTATACCTGGCTTAGTTTTAGTTAGAAAACATAAAGTAAAAAATAAGCATAGCAAAGCTTATGTATTCTTTTATATCAAATTCGGGTTCAAAGCCGGGCTCCTCCTCATCACAGCTAGCTCAGCTTGGACCAGTTACTCTCTTCTGTGCTGGCTTCTTATGCTGTTGTGCGTAAGCCCTTGCCTGTGGAACTTCAAGGCTGTGAGGGGCCTTGCATCTGTACCTCCTAAAAATACATCACACAGTGGTATCTTTTTTGTAAAAGGATGTGTCAGCTGGAAAGGCTGGGACTTGAATGAAATTTGGACTTTCTCCAACACAAAGGTCTGTCCTAACATACTCTCTGTAAAACTTCACAGTATTGCCAAGCAAAACCACCCTGTGTAATAAGAGAGGCCTGAGTGAGACCCTACGTCCAAGGAACGGTCAATGAGTTCATTGTTTACAACAGAGAAGTCGAAGGCTAGCCCTCTGCCAGGGGCATCACCTCCTCTAGAACTTTAACACATTTTTTGTACTCAAATCACCCAGTTCTTGGTTTTGATCACTGTGCCGAATTTCGGTTGTTTTCATCTTTCTCTCTCTTCAGCTCAGGTCTAAAAGAGAACAGTTCTTGAAGCGTTGGGCTGTTCTTAGCAGGCTGCTTGTACTTATAGTGTCCTGCTGCCTTGTCCACCACCTGCTACATTACGTTTAAGTGTGTTTATGTGTCTGACCTCCACGAGGACTTTTAGCTCCTCTACAGATAATCTCTCTGCACCCTCCCATGCCTCCACCATCTCTCTCTCATGCCCTAGAACACAGTGCACAGCAACCATCTAAAAACCCAACATATTGTTTATAGTATTGCCTTAGGCATATTTCACATATTCGTTTATTCTTACCCTACAACCAAAATATAAACTTGATTCTTCTTCTTCTTCTAAGTTCTAAAATAAACTAAGGCACAGAATGGCTAAGTAACTTGCCCAAGGTCACACAGCTATGAAATGGTGGTACTTGGAGAGGAGCCAGAAAGTCTAACTCCAGCCCCCACACTCGAACAGTAACTCTATCTTCCTTCCAAGATTCTTGGTAAATGTTCACTTCAACTGATTCGAGCATGACTCAGCACAGATGAATCCATACAAACATCTGGTCTTAGAGAAGAAAAAATATTCTTAAAGTCTCACACTCTTAAAACTTTTCTTGGGACATACATAAATTGTAATGGGCAAAGTTTTCTAAAAACTATCAAAAGCTTTGATTTGCACATTATACAAAATTCCATTTGATCATCAAAAGCCTCCTAGGACACAAAACCTCTTCAAGCACATGTGTGGAATGGTTGTGTTTTAGTAATCAGCTGTCACTTACTACATACTTCCACCTAAAACAACAGAAGCCTCTGGATGCAAGGCCAATGAGCTTTTTGTTTTTCTGTTTTTAAACTGCTGGCATCAGCCTTCAAGGGTTTGAACATGAACTTGTTATCCTTGAAATAAACAGCTGCTTGCCAAAGTTGCTCTGATTAAGCAGTAAACATCATTACAAGACACAACTTCTGTTAGTACCTTGATTCAAGCAAAGGGTTTAACACAGGCAGAACCATTTTAAGGTCCCCCATAAAAGCACTGACTGATGAAAGCAAAAGAAAAAAAAATCAAGCCAACAGAGACTAAGAGGAAGTTGTATTACTGAACTCCCATGCCCCTGTGTGTACAGAATGCCTTCAGCATGGGGAGCAAGAAGGAACAAGTCCATTGTGCTCTGGGAGAACTGCCTTGAAAGTAAAAGGATATGACAGAGACTGAACAGAATCTGGGACCTTAAGGGTGAAGAATATTCATAAAAAATCAATAGGTCTCTACAGTACCCACTGTGGTAATGATGACCATGACAATGATATAGCAATAACAAATAAGCTAAGAAGACATGTATGCCAGGGGTGTCTGGGTGGCTCAGTGGGTTAAGCAGCTGCTTTCCACTCAGGTCATGATTCCAGGGTCCTGGGATGGAGCCCCGCACCAGGCTCCCTACTCAGCGGGGAGTCTGCTTCTCCCTCTCCCCTTGCTCATGGATGCGGACATTCTCTCTCAAATAAATAAATAAAATACTGGGGATAAAAAAAAAAAAAGACATGCATACCAAACTAATTTTCTTCTATTAAGAAAAAAGGGGCACCTAGGTGGCTCAGTCGTGAAGTATCTGCCCTCGGCTCAGGTCATGATCCTAGTGTCCTGGAATCGAGCCCTGTATCGGGCTCCTTGCTCAGCCTGCTTCTCCCTCTCCAGTTCCCCCATGCTAGTGCTCCCTCTCTAGCTGTCTCTTGCTGTCAAATAAATAAATAAAATTCTTAAAACTAATTAATTTATTAATTAAAAATATTTTTTAAAAAGTTAAATTGCCAAGTAGCAAAATCAAATATATTGTTTTAAGATAGAGGAATGCAGTGAATATCTGTCTTATTTGTTCATTCCTTCACTTGTTCTTTCATTCATTCTTGGCAGCCAGAGTCTGGGCCCTGCCTGCAGTACTTGGATTTCTTGTGGGGAATTCGTCTTGTCACACTCTGTTAAGTCTCAGTGGAACCCCAAGGTGCTTGGCCTGCCCTAACTCCCTGGAAATCAGAGGGGCTTCTTTGGCCAATCATTCCTTTCAGGGCCCTGCTGGAGACAAAGGACAGGCATATGACCTAGACAGCTCAAAGCTCCGCCAAAGGACTTAATTTCCCCAGCACTTTGTTGTGAAGATAAAATAAACCTGGTATAAGTTTACCTATTTTTTCCTGGGCAGGTGCTTGAGTGCTCTCAAGACAGACTATCCCTATGCCTGTTTCCTGTCTGCTCCGTGCCAACTTCTTTACTGGCCTTTTAATTCTGTGCACCTTCCTCTAGTCTTCCAATAGATCCTCTTTGTTTTCAAGCGATCCCAACTCTGTCTCCATTGTTTGCCCCCAGAGTGTAAGTGTTGGGTATCAGCTGAGCAGTGACTAAACCGGGGAACTGGGTCATAAGTGAGAACAGAACCTGGAAGAGGGCACAGACTGGGAATCCCTGGAAACCTGGAAAAATACTGTTGGGATCCTGGTGGGGCAGTGCCAGGGAGCCCAGGTGAAGGTCCTCACCAGGGATATGGCATTAATTAGCAAGGTGGCCTGAGCTCCAGAAAACACAGCACAATGAGCAAAAGTCCCAAAGAATGTTTATACTTTACAACAAGTTTAGGGCTTCCAGGTGACCTTGTTATATTCAGAAACAGCTTCTGTAGCACATCAAAACCTACCGGGAGATGAAAAAAGTCTTCCATTTCTTTGTTCACAATTAATGCTCAGAATAAAGCAACTGGATCACAGATCACAACTTAATGTCCTTGAAGAGTCTAAAGAAAATGTCCTGCGTTTCTCTTCCTTCCTGCTGTATGCTCACCTTTCTCATTGACTTGTCAGCATCAGGAAATTAGGTTTATCATTTCATTTTGTTTATAGCTGATTTTACAGCCCAGCTCATCATTACGACGGTTTCACAGACCCAGAAACCTTCCCATGAGCCTTATTTTCATAAATTCACTTAGAATGAGCTCACATTAAACTTTATAGAATACCATTTTAAAAACTAAAGCTAAAACCCAAAATAAAATTACATCTTCCTCTTAAAACTTTACTAAAAAAAACCCTGCAGGTTAATGATTATTGCCAGACCCATGTTAACTCATTTGTTTGGAAACAAATACATAAGCAAAGAAATACATGGGAAGAGATTTGCTTTTCTCCATTAAATCGTACCTGAACAGGGACTCTCTTGATAGCCAAATTTCATTCTGCTTCACAGTTTTCCAGGAGAAAAGCAGCAGCAGCAGCGCAGTACACACGGTCAGGGTGGTGGCCCCCCAACGATTCAGTCCTGCGCAGAGCTTCCTCAATCCGTGCACAAAAAGGATGCAGTAGCCCATGCTGGGAAATAGAGCGGGAGAGGCAGGATTACTTTGGGGGTGGCATGGAGTCCCCCCGAGAATTCGATCCCATAGAACTAACTTTCAAATAAAACTTGTCCCGTAACAGAGAAACAAATATAAACTCCTCTGGCTTACACAGTATTTTTAAGTTGGTTCTCTAATCACTCTTCCAGTGCATTGCCAGCTCTCTGGCATTAGTGTGGAGAGTAACAGGTTCATCGTTTAGGCTCCAACTGCCCAGGATTTAAGCAGCATCACGAGATGTCCCTTTTGTATGTTCTTGGGTCGTGACTAGACCCTTATGTCACTGACATTGTATAACCATACTGGCACCACTAGTTTAGATCTAGACTGTGTCGTCACAGGTGATGTCATGGCTTTGTGAGAAACAGTCCCCAAGAGCTCCCTATCAGGTCCTGGGAGGGATGCTGGTCACCAAGGAGCCACGGTAGTCTGTCCCTAGGGATGTGTGCTCCCCGGTAAGTTCCCACTCTGGTCCAAGTCCGTCTGCTGAAGGAAAATCATCTATCCACAGGCCAACTCCAGAGCACTGCAGCTTGGAGCCCATCACAAACCGCACTGACAGTACTTTCTTGCTGACTCTGGCTCAGCTTTCTATGTAGACATGAAGAATCTGTCCTGTTATCTGAGTGGCACGTTGATAGCACGTCTCTAAATACCTTTGACTGGAATGTGGTCCCTCACATAATTTATGCAGTCGACTGGCCTCAGAAAATCACAGACATTTAACTTGTATCTATCATTGCCATGTGCATTTCAGTTTTAAGACCCACTTCTTTCCAAGGAAAATAGACTACAAATTATGGAATATTTTGAAAACGAAGCAAGCTTGTGTAAAGAAATCCTACATCAGTTAAATATTAATGCCATAAGAAGCCCAAAATTAAGATAACCCATTCACTTGTTCAATTATTTATTCATTCTCCCTCTATAGGGACTGGCAATATCCTGGGCACTAAGAATGCAATTATGCATAAAACACAGGTCCTGCCCTCAAAGAACTCCAGCCTACTGGGACAGGTTGGTTTTGTCAAGGAAAACACTTAAATAGTCTCGTTTCTAAACATATCTCCTTTAAAAAATCTCTCCACTTCTGTTCACTTTTCTAAATGTCTACAGTATCAAGGGTAGAAAAACAAGAGAAGCATTTAAGGTTTCTGATACGGAGATGCTGGGAATTAGTTGAAGTTCGAGCTCCAATTCCATACTTCAAATCCCCTAAGTCAGTTGGTCCAGCTCCCTAAACTCTGAGGGTTCACTATTAGGTCAAACAAAGGGAGTCAGCCGCCCACTTACTCATTTCAAGCTAAGGAAGCTGGATTCGGTGGCCATAAGCACAGTGCAAAAGCCTTGAACATGCTAAAACATAGAGTCACTAACACTAAATAATAAAACCCCAAAACCTCTTCCCCTTCCACAACAAGTCATGTTTGGACTTAAAGGTATCAAGATCTTTTAAACGTCTCTCATTTGATACAACTGGCCATGCTGACGCATTATAGGCCACCATGGCTGCTCAAGCTCCTGAGGATGCTTGCCATTTGCTCTGCTAGCCTCCTCCAGATCCCAGCTCTAATGGGCAGGGCGCATCTCTGCCACATGAAAGCCTTCTGGGCTCCATTCCTCCATTCGACAGATATTTAATAAACCCCCAACTGTGTCCTGCCATCATTATAGGCACCAAGACCGTAGCAGTGGACAAGAGACAAGAATTCCTGTCCTTGTGGAACCCACGTGGGTGGAAAGAAACAGCCAATAAGCAAATAAAACACAGAGTGTGCCAGGGTATGTTACATGGGTAATAATCTATCAGCAAAGAGGACGAGGAAGCTCAGGGAGGGGAGGAAGTCGAGATTTTAATATGGTCAGGAAAGGCACCATGGGAAAGGTGACATGGGAGCAAAGTCCTGAAAGGCATGTACCCCATACAGGCACCCACAGCTGTAGTACCAGCTATCTCCTTGTTCCTGCCTTCATAAAGCAGCTCCATGAAGAACAAATGTTTGCTGAGCACATCTCATGGGCCAAGCATGTTCCATGTAGGAGTTCAGCTCATCCTCACATCCCTGTGGGTCACTCAATGCTAGAGGTGTTTACTCATAAAGATGAGGATGAGGAAGAAGGTGAACTGATTTCCTGAATTTGGTCACACAGCCTGTATAGTAGGGCAAAGATACAAAGCCATGCATTTCAGATTCCGAACTCACACTCCATATGCTGTCCTGCTTGTCTGGGTTTTGACTTAACTGGCTGATCCTTGCGTTCCTCGCACCTTATCACACACCTTGACTTACTTCCCTCCTAATCACTCCATTCATAAAATTTCAATACTTGTTTTCTGTCTCCTTGTAGGAAACAGAGCTGCCATCTGGCGGAGCAGTGGGAGAGGAGAACACTGGCATCTCCACATGGGGTTCCCAAGCTATGGCCACAAAATGGGAGAAGACAAGAATAACAAAGATAACAACAACATAAGTAATGAACTATTTTACACATCCGTATGTTTACTGAGTCCTTCTTCTATTGGCCAGGCACTGAGCTAAGGGCTTTGCATGGACCTGTCCACAATATTTGTAGGACCTAGGATAAAGACTGTTCTGGTTTTAAATATATTATCTGATTTGAATATATAATCCTAGTATCTCCCATTCCATAAATGAGGGAATTAAAGCTTATAGGAGTCAAATTATTTGTCCCCAGCACCCACAGCTAGTAACAGAGAAGACCCAAGGCTCTACCACAATGCTAATCTCCAGAAGTTGGCAAACCTTTTCTGGAAGGGGCCAAAGCATAAATATTTCGGGCTTTTCAGGCTTTTCTGTCCTGCCCACTCTATCCTTGGGGCAGGAAAGTAGCCAACGACACTATGTAAATTAATGGCATGGCTATGTTCCGATAAAATTTATTTATAAAACAGGCCAGCCTTCACTCAGGAGCCACAGTGTGTTGACCCTTGCTATAACCAAAGGAAGGAGAAGGCCATTCCTTTCCACTCAGCAAGGGCATCAGTATCAAGTAACATGATCATTTTTTTGGAAAGTCCTTGTATTGACATATGGCTTAAAGAAATAGTAAGCCATATAAAATAATCTCTACTTAGGCTTGCAAATTTCTTAGAGAGTATCACATTCTTACAAACTTGAACACAGTATCACCAAGATTAAGTTGCTTCTCTATTATGACATTTCATCCTTCAACATCTGCTTTAATAAAGATCTCAGCAGCAGGGGGTTGAATTGCTCTCTCCATTTCCAGGGGCAGGCCAAGTCCTCATTTTGAAAGTAGAAAATCAAGCAAATGAGAAGCTACATGACTTTCTGGCCTCCAGGGAGATGAAACCAGGCTGCAGAGTGCTTTGGTGAATCTGGTTAAGGAAAATCTGGGCTCTGATTAGAGACCTCTACACAGAGCATAAAGGAGTCATGCAAACTGCTGACAGTGAACAAAACCAGTACCTGAAGAACCAAACTCTGGCTACTGATTGGTTTGCCTCAGCATTGAGATGCAGTTTCAAAGCAGCTTGAGAAACACCACTCACTGCTTCTTCATGTGGATTCATTGTTTGATCTCTCACTCACTGGCTGCAGGTATTATCCCCATTTCAGTGCATGTAACAACTAGAGACTCGGCATCTCTCCCTGATACTTTCATGATGCACATCCAAAGGGAACTGAAGAGGAAATGCAGGTCAACCATGTTTGTCCTTCCATATTAGAATAAAAAATATTTACACCTGTTACTCGAGAACTTTGTGAGAAGTTAATCATTGTGTAAATAGTGCAGTGTACTTTCATGAACCTTGCCCAGAAGCTCTTCAGTGATAAAAGAACACTTTTTCCTATTTACATCAGCCTGAAAAAAGGACAATTTTCGATCCCTGGGCCGAGCATGTTATGAAGTTTACTGTGGCTTCACTTTTTGTTTAATTACATGCAGCAAAGAGAATCTTTTCACGATTAATTAGAACTGAAATTCTACCTTTTAACTTAAACTCTAACAACCCACTGAAAGGATCTACAAATAACATTAGTGGTACAAGTCAGACACAGTCTTACGATTTTATTGCTTAAAAAAAAAAAATTCCCAACTTTAGATATTTGCAATGAAACACAGCCCTAGTTAACTTCATTCTGGTCTGGTGAATCCCCACTTGGCAAATTATGACAGCAAGATCTGATTCTGGTCTCATGAATGGTTAAACAATAAAGCCCTGGAATGCAGAGCCCAGGACAGGTGTTTGATGCTGCAGCGTAGAGGCAGCAGGGGCCAATGGTGAGGCCACTGATCAGATTTAACCTGGAAGCTGCCAGCTTCTGGTGAGCCAAGTCTCCAAGACTTGTTCTTTTTTTTTTTTATATCTCCAATATTTGATGGGCAGGAAAATTTCTCAGAAGGCTGAATGTATCTGGATGTAAGTTTATTCATATTCTAAGAAAATGACTCCAAAAGCATTTCTTATACATTTCTCTCTTGTGCGCTCCTCATCCTAGGTGCTGGGCTCTCACGGGAGTGATAAAGAGATTCTATCACTTCTCCAAGAAATAGATTTCTTCCGTTCTTTCCTCAGCATATTTATGAATAATTGGGATAATAATGCCATTGCTTTCACCTTCTGTGAACCTGATTCTCCTCTACGTCTTTGAAGATGAGAGGCTCCCTCTCAACCTTGTAGTTCATCTACTAGCACCAAATTTATAAGACCTCTTGTGGTAAATAAGACAGAGCTCTGGAATCTGCATTTCAGTTCTGACAATGCCTGTTGTTTGATCTTTGATTATTTAAATTCTCTACTTATTAATTTTCTTATTTGTAAAAGGAAATAATTTTACACTGTGCATCATGTTCGATAGACAACCATAAATGGTAACCTTAATGTTATAATAATAATATTATTATTAGGGAATTATTTTCTGCTGAATAGAGTATGAGACAGGATGTGTGTATAGTCTGCACATATCCAGGTTAGAACAGATGTCT